TAGCCTGGTCTACATAGTGAGTTCCAGGACAGCTGGGGCTACAGGGAGACCCTGTCTCAAAAAGACAAAAAAATAAATAAAATAAAATAGTAAGTGTATAGCCGGACGTGGTGGTGCATGCCTTAATCCCAGCACTCCAGAGGCAGGCGGATCTTTGTGAGATCAAGGCCAGCCTGGTCTACATAGCCAGTTCCAGGCCAGCTGGGGCAATGGGGAGACCCTGTCTCAAAAAGATGAAATAATAATGGTAAGTGTATTTTTTTAAAGGTGGGATGGTTCAGTGATTAGGAATACTGGCTGCTCTTGCAGAGGACCCAGGTTAGGTTCCTAGCATCCACATGGCAGCTAACAACCATCCATAACTCCAGTTCTGGTGGATCCGACGTCCTTTTACGACTTCCACAGGCACTGCACAACACAGGTACATTTGCACACATGCAGGCAATACACTCATACACATAAAGTAAAAATAAATAAACTTTTTTTTTTTTTTTTGTCTTTTTGAGACAGGGTCTCCCTGTAGCCCCAGCTGTCCTGGAACTCACTATGTAGACCAGGCTGGCCTTGAACTCACAGAGATCCGCCTGCCTCTGCCTCCCGAGTGCTGGGATTAAAGGCGTGTGCCACCACACCCGGCTAAATAAAGTATTTTATTAAAAAATAGTGCATGCTTCTGCGGAGGAACTCTGCAGCTCTCAAGCCACTCTGCCTCAGCTCATCTGGTCGCGAGTGCGCGTGCGCGGACAAAGCCCCTTCCTAAGCGGGCGCTGGACTTTGCACGCTCCCCTCCTCCACGGCCTGAAGCATGACCGTAAAGCCACTCGGTTCTGTCGTAAAAGGGCCTCGGGCACGCGCGGGGCTGCTGGACCTCGCCAGTCCCAGTCCAGCAGATGGAGAAGGTGAGCGAGGTGGTCGGCGGTCGGGAGCTGGATGGAGCTGAATGCAGACTAGAGCTGCACAGGCACAGCTGCACAGCCTCCTGGAGAAAAGTGATACCCCGGAGGGAACCCCCGCCCTCCATCTTACTGCCTCGGGGACCGAGGACATCACTCAGTGGCTGAGTGCGTGCCTTGCAGGCACGGGACCTGCGTTCGAACCGATCCCCGGCACCCACGTACAAAGCCCAGCGAGCGCCCAGCACTGGGCAGGTGGAGACTGGAGGAGCCCTGGGCGCTCTGGCCAGCCAGTCTAGCTGAATCTGGACTCCAGGCTCAGTGAGAGACCCTGTCTGAAAAGATGACGTGGAGAGCAATGGAAGAGACAATGATGTTGCCCTCTGACCTGCACATGCACTCATACACACATGCAGATAGACAGCCAGACGCACGCACACAGGACCAGTGCTGGAGACAATGGAGCACAAACGTTCCTGCTAGTTTGGTTATTATCACATTCTCTCACCTTAGTGACCATCCCCACTGAGAGAAAAATAAAAGCACGTTTGGGCAATAAAACCCACGAGCTACTTGGATTCCTCCCTATGTCTGTCCTTATGTGTATCTGTACCTGTTGGCTGGGATCTTAAACACAGTTGGGAGAAATCTTCCAGACACTCAGTGC